CCTTAGTAAGGGCCTAGCCATTTTACCAAATTTCTTATTCAACTGATGTTCAATATATCAGGTTTTGACTTGTGTCTGGAAATCATACTTTGGACATATTAAGAAAGCAAGACATCTGGAGGTCACAGTGATGCATGCCTATAATCCCAGCTACTTAGGAGGCTGAATCAGGAGGATCCCAAGTTTGAGGCCAACCTAGGCAATTTAGTGAGACCCCTTCCCTCATCTCAAAATGAAAGTCTGGGGATATAGTTCTATGGTAGAGCATCCCTAGATTCAATCCCTAGTAGGGGGTAGGGGGAGGGGAATCAGGGATCTGCCAATCTAGGTCTGAGATTGATAAGAGTTATTCCTGAAAGACTAATTGCAGGGCTTTGTCTCAGCCTGACAACCACTCACACAGTTACCCTGCGATCAGTGCTCCTAGTGATCATCTTCACATGGTGAGCATGTGTTATTTCCAAGGGGACTAACCCTAGGAATATTGGAGGGGTACTGTATAAATTTGAACAAGTAATTGTTCTTTCCCAGATTTTTAAGGAAGTGACTGATGGAGGTTCTGCCACCATGTAGCAGTCTAGAAGCAAGTTTGTTTACTTGCTGATTCAAAAATAGGGTCCACTTCCTCTTTTCGAAGGCTCCAGATAATCTGTGTTCTGTATATAACTAAGAACAACACCTGGTAAAGACTGAAAATTCAAAATGGATCATTGTGTTCCATTTATCATAACTTGTAACTTTATCATAGAATGTAAAAAGGGGGATTATGACAATTAATATTTTACCCTCTGTTCACTGCTATTCCTAAATATCTTAAGTTTCTTAGGGTGTGTGTGCGCATGTATTTTTTGGGGGTGGAGAGACTGGTGATTGAACTCGGGCTGCTACTCTTTCACTGAGTTATATCCCCAGCCCTTTTATCTATCTATCTATCTATCTATCTATCTATCTATCTATCTATCTATCTATCTATCGACAGGGTCTCACTCAATTGACCAGTCTAACCTTGAACGTGCAATCCTCCTGCAGTCTCCTGAAAAACTGGGATTACAGTCATGTGCCTTGCCTAGTTCATAGGGTTTAAATGTGATGAGATTTCTTTAAAAATAGTTTAATCAACACCAATTCACTTTAATCCTTTGAAGATGAGGTCTGTTGTACTACACAAAAGTTTTACAGAATGCCCCTCTCCATTCTTTTTTTTAATATTTATTTTTTTTAGTTTTATATAGACACAATATCTTTATTTTACATTTATGTGGTGTTGAGAATTAAACCCAGTGCCTCATGCATGCTAGGCGAGCATGCTACCACTGAGCCACAACCCCAGCCCCTCCATTCTTATTCTTAAAAAAAAAAAAAAAAACACAAAGGAAAAAAAATCCTTGCATAGTCCTTTATAATCTACAAAGTTTCCACATAAACATTCTCTTATTGTCACAGAAAGCAAATATTTTCATTTAACAATACTGATCTGTGTTCCAGGTTACACTATTGGTAATGGGGGAAATCAGGAATAAAACTTGGTTGTTTTGAGTCCAGTATTCTTTCTCATATACCAGGCCACCCTTAAGTGTAAGAAATTTTGTTCTAAAGCATGTCTGTTATTTTGCTCAGAAAAAAAAAGTACTTAAAAAAATCTAGTACAAAAATTCACAAAAGATAAAATTACTTCCTATCAAGGTCTTACTGGTAGTATACCTGATTTCTGAAGTCACAGTGTCAGGTCTCTGCATGTTCGATGCAATGCAGATGTATTCTATACCCCATACAATCACTGCCCCACAGCCTTCTGAGCAAATAAAGTACATTATGAGAGAGGCAGGATAATACATTACCAGAGACGTGAATAAGTGACCTCACAAAGTGAAAGAGACCTTTCAAAAAGCTTACCTGAGTGCAAGCTGTTCCATCCTCTGACTGGGAACTGGTAATGGAATATTAAGAAGCCCAAACTGAGATTCCTGCTATGAAACTAACAACACAAAATACCATAATTTTATAAAAGTTTGTAAAAGATTGCTGATTGGCTATGTTGAAACTATCTGTGGCTAGAAGCTACATACTGAAAACTGAAATACCTGACATCCATTCGAACTTTGAGAAGTTGGGGAATTGTGAACATGGCAGGCAGAAAGAAAATCTAAACACCTAAAGTCCAACACAAAGGTCTGGAGAGCACTGGTCTATTATGAAAAGTATTACAATGTGATGACTATTCCAAGTCTTGCAGTTGGCATTCTGGTTAGGACTGTAAAGATCTTTTTCTAAAATCAACTGCATGTTTCCTATATATGAAAGGACTTTAAAATATAGTACAGTACAAGTAAATTAATAACACTTCAGGGCAATAAGACTAAAGACATAGATTAAAGGAATGTTCCTAACTGTAATTTTCCACTTGAAAATAAATACTAAACATGGATGTTCTTCCTATACTGCTTTTGGGGCATCTTTCTAAATCTTTGAGTCAAACATACAATTCTACTTGGGAATATATTTTTTTAAACCTTTGTTTTTATGCAGTGTTGAGGATCAAACCTAGTGCCTCACAACTCACATGTGCTAGGAAACCACAATACCACTGAGCCACTACTCCAGTCCTGGGAGTATTTTCTCCAAACCTATAACGTCTCCCTACTTGCCTAGCTATCAGCAAGATGACAGCTAGAAAGAACACCTTTCTTGTTATGTAGTATCAAAAATTTTTTGATACTCCAAATGATCAAGAGAAGCAAAGCTAGGGCTGTGGTTGTGGCTGGGTAGTAGAACACTTGCCTAGCATGTATGAGCACCACATAAAAAAAAAAAACATTGTGTTCATCTACAACTAAAAAAAAAAAAAAAAAAAAAAAAAGCCATTGACTTCTTGTTCTTTTTTTCTGGTATTGGGGCTTGAACTCAGGGACACACAGCCATACCCCCAGCCCTATTTTGTATTTTATTTAGAGACAGGGTCTCACCAAGTTGCTTAGTGTCTCACTTTTGCTGAGGCTGGCTTTGAACTCAGGATCCTCTTATCTCAGTCTCCTGAGCCTCTGGGATTACAGGAGTGTGCCACCATGCCCAGCAGCCATTGACTTTTTAATTTAGACTTGTGCCCAATATTGAAGCATGATACCATCACCGTGGATACCAATGAGCAGCTAGAGTTGTAACTGGAGCTCCAGTCTAACATAAATCTGATTAATGCAGCCTTTTCTATTTGGGGAATTACAATGTCAATGTTGAAATACTGGGGTTGTAAAAAAGACATTTAAAAGGCACTGCACAACAGAAAGAGGAAGACTGATATATTTTATAGTAGATTTTCATTAAGGCCTTCCTTTCCACATGGTTCAACTGATGGAGGTTATAGTCTATCTGTACTAGTACAGAACAGAATAAATCAATGTTCTTAAAACATTGAAAGACTAGGATCAATCATCCCTAGTACTACATTCCTTTAGTTCCTGATTCTACACTTCAAGTTATTCATTCATTCACAATGCAGTATCTCAGCATTATTGCAACCACATTTTATATGAATACATTTTTCCAAACTTTGTAGGGAACTGTAGTTTTAAGGAGGAAGAAAGCTTCTATCAATGACTATTTGGCTTAAATGCTACCCAAGGGTAATAATATTTTAACTTCCCATTCCAAACAGGAAAACCAAACAACAAAAATTAGCCAGAAAGCTACAACTTGTTTCCTGCTTAGAAAAAAAAAAAAAAAAAAGAAAGAAAGGAAACCTGATAGTAATTTCTGTAACTAGTTTTTCAAAATTGTATTTCATTTCTAAAAGTATTAAGAGCTATAATTAGCTCTTGGGTAAGAGCTAATCAACATCTTATCAGAAAATTCTACGTCAATGACAGTTTCAGTACTTTCTCTTCTGCTATTATATAGTCAACTGTAAATATAATTCCTTACATAAGTTCATGTTTTCCTAGAAAGGTATACTAAAATTGAATAGGCAAAGGTCTACATTAAGATTTTGGGAGCGGGGGAGAGAAATTATTCTCCCAAAGAAAAAACTCCTCGGTGATGAGTATTTTACAAATACTTACCAATTTTATTTTCTTTTACAATTGAACACAACTTGAGTCTGGTGAGTATCTGATTTGCTACATCTCTTGAGTTCTACCCTTAGTCAACACTGTATTTTAACATTTATGTGTTCCCCCTTTCTAGGAATTTTTACAAATTGAGGGTAAAAATATTACTATTATAGTGAATACATGAATTTTTCTATACAAAGACAATGTGACCCTGCTGAAAATGAGCTTCTGACTCTGTCACCATGAGATAACTTCAGTTGTTATCTTTGGTACATAATGGACAATTGTGGGGGGTCAATTTATGAAAACTGAATATATAAAAGTGGGAAATTGTTTGACATAATTTCAATTAATAATTTTAAAGACAGAAAGAAATTCAGATATCATCTAATTCAAACTTAATTAACTTAGAAAAGAATGAAAACACGGATTTTATGGCTAAAATCATACTTGTCATAGGTGCCAGAGCTAGAACTAGAGTCTGAGTCTAATATTCCTGGTCAATAATTCCTTACACTACAGAAAATCCACAGGAAGTTTTGTTATTATTTAGAATTCTATCCCAAGTAGCCTTTGTTAGAATTATTAAAAATGCTCAAATTCCAATTACTAATCTTCCTTCCTAGTTCAAATCCTGTTGAATAAAAGTTAAACTTTAAAAGAACAAAGGAGGATCAAGGGAATGGACAATGTAAAGTGGATAAAAAAATCAAGATCAGATCATAGGCCTTTCCTCTAGTCCTGAAACAAGTTGATTTCAATACTAGTTCTTAGATATTTGTCACCTACCTTTCACACTTATAGAGAAAGTGTGGAAACAGATCTGAAGGTATTGAGTTGATTCAGTGTCAAAGTATGGGTCATTTGAGCACTTTTCTTCATCTTTATTGTAACCATGAAATCAGTTTCTCTCAAAGGAGGCTTTACTCTGAGAGGTCACAATCATAGTAGTCTCAATCAGTGAAAATAATAAGAGATTTCCATTTATTCTTTTCTTAAAAAATATTTTTTAGTTGTTAATGGACTTTTTTTCTGTTTTGTTTATTTATATGTGGTATTAAGATTGAACCCAGGGCCTCACACTGAGCCACAACTCCAGCTACTCCATTTATTCTTTAAAGTAAATATAGATAGAAAGAACAGCACAAAAGTTAAACTAGGGGAAATTTTTCACTGACAGATTATACAGACATCCATTCTTAATGCACGGGGAGATCTATAATGTCCTGTATGGCATATTTAAGGCACAAAGCTTTACAGGATTAAGAGATGTGTGTGTGTGTGTATGTATATTTATATACATATTTATATACATATATATGTATATAAATATACATACACAGCAGGGGATTAAAGAATATATATGTATATATTAAAGACTACAAAGTGATGGAAAAATTAAAATTGCAAGGAGTGAAAATGAAAAGTTAGCACATATTTGCTTTTATTTATGGGTAACTACCACATGAACTATAAAGAGAAAGGATGTTAGAATGCAACTTGGATAGGTGTATGCATGCTGCAACTAAGAAGAAATAATGTTTATATTATGACTAGTGAGAACATTACAAGTTTAACAGGGAATTGTGATTATTTAAAATATGCAGAACTTATTTAATCTGTGCTTTAGAAATAACTGTATATAGTGTTATAAATCGAAAAGAATTCAAAAGAATAGTATTAAATATATCCCTGTGTTCTGTAAAGTCAGTCAGCTGTATTAAAAATGACAAATAAAAAAAAATGCATGTTAATATAAAAGGGGCACTGTAAGATTTGCTTGCTGCATTAAATCAACAGTTTAATCCATGAAATTTCTCTTTAATTATCATTTAGACAAAAGCATGCAAATAGTCTTAGGATCTACTGTAGAGCCTTCCCCCAGTCCACTAAAGGCTATACTCCTCTTTTTAGGAACTAAGCAGGTATTCGGGTAGCTGCTTCCTCTTCTGCATCAGCTCGGTTTGCATTAATTTCTGCGAGTGTTCGGCCGAATCGTGCCCATTCATCATTGCGGGGAACGGCAATCTGCTGTTAAAAGAAAAGACAATGTTTTGTGTTACACTGAAATAAAAGATCATTTTACCTGCTATTATTCAGCTTGTTTTCAAATAATTTTTTCCACTAAAAAGTAATAATTGACCTAAACGGCCTTTCCATAATTACAGGGACTATAACAATGATTTACAACATTTCAAAACAAAAGATGGTGTTTGTCAAGTATGTTGTGACAGCCTCAGAAATGACTTTGCTATTATCACCATCAGTGCAAGAGAGAATAACAATGATGCTTTGTAAATTTTACTCCTGTGTACCGTCTCATGGATTTTGCTGGTGGGAATTCCGTTAAAAATTTTTTAGTTCATTCTCATCTCATTCCTAGTTAGAAATAGTTTTGAAGCATTATTTTCATCTGAAGATAACCTTTCATGATTCCCTCACAAAAAGCTATGCTACTATTTCACATTTAGCATTGTAACAAGATAATAAAAGAAAAAGAGACTGCAGTTCTTTTGCCTCACAGAGGCAGTTGGGTGATAAAAATTTTTGATAATTGCCAAAATAATATCACCGAGTCTATCAGGATAGGACATAAGCCACTCTGTGGTAAATGGATGTTCCTTCTTCTAAATCTACACTATCCAGTAGGGGAGTTACTAGCCAATGTAACTATATTTAAAGCTAAATAAAACTTAAAATTCAGTTCTTCAGTTGTACTGCCACATTTTAATTATTCAATAGCCATGTGTGGCTAATAGCTACCATATTAGTACAGACATAGAACATTTCCATCTGTGCAGATCAACTGGCTGTTCTAAATGATTCAATCTACTTCCCTTCAGATTCAATTGCTAGAGGCCATGGGATTTTCAGTCAGGATGAGGAATCATAAAACAGCAACAGAAAAATGACAAAGTTACTAGCCAGGGCTAAAATGGAGGGAATCAATCCTGGGCATTACCATATAGCCCATCAGAGCACTAAAGATGAGGGAGCTGCATCTCATCTTATTGAATTCAGTTATAATGGATCAAGGATCCAGATTCACATTTCAGTCATCAGATAATTCTCAAAAAATACTACTTTTGGTTTCTACTATCTGGCCCAAACAAATGTATGAATAATAATAATAAAAAAAGACTTAGTATCAGTTCTTTAAAATTCCAGTGTCCATCTATAACTCCACATTTCTTTTTCTGCCTGAAGAATTTATGATTTCCAGTAACGTATTCTTAAAGAAACAAAGTACTTCCATCATACTATATTAGTCTCAAAATCTGCCCACGGACACAGAACATCCAGTTTAGAAAGAAAATCTCAAAAATTTCTTTTGTAGTACGAAGTATACAAGCATATGGTTTACACAATTCAGGATCCACAAAGATACCTTCACTACAATGTCACTAAATAGATGTATCAAAATTATAGACAGTAAGCCCCATACCTCTCCCACATCATATATAACAATCTGTCCTTCAGAATCACCCACGGCAATCTCTCTTCCAGAATGGGTCCATCTTACACGATTAAGAGCAGGATTACCCTCCACAGAAATGCTGGCAGTTGGTACCTAAAGTCATTTAAAATATAGTGCAGTGTTAAAAGTTTCATCAAGATTTCTATAAACATGTAAAACAGTATTTCCTCTTCCAATCTGTTTAAAAAAAATAGATGAAAATGGATAGAGAATTTTCCCAACTTTCTTCCTACTCAGCAATATATTATGAATGACATTATAGTCAATCCTTGAACATGGTTTGGGAAAATAAGTCCTTCATAAGAAATTCTCACATGACTGGATATACCATTTTGAAATAACTTTTCTTTAATAAAGGACTCTTTGTTGTTTTAACTTAAGTAGCCAAGCTATTTGAAAACACAGGGTCAAATCCCATTTAAGAGGAAAACATTTCAAAAGCCCTCATAAACAGATCATGGTTCAGTTTTACAGACAGGAATTACTTTTGTAGCTTGGATCTCTGAAACTTATGTTTGATCCTCAGTTCCAAAAAATAGTTCACACTGAAGGTGCACCATGAGTCTTTCCAAAACCCCTTAATTTGCACAGACTCAGAATGAAGGCATGATGATGGATGGCACTAATACAGCAGTACCAGCCTTTTGGGTCTGATTGTGTATCTCCTATGCTGAGGAAAACACATGAAGCAAATAAATTCAGACTAAAAAGCCCCCCCCCCCCCAAATTTAAAGTTTTGAAATGTGGCCAAAATAATCCTTTAATTGACACCAGTCTTCCCCAGATGATTAGCTCAAAATTGTTATAAAGAAACTTCTTTTCTTTTCTTTCTTTTTTTTTTTTTTTTTTGTGGTGCTAAGGATCAATCCCAGGGCCTCACACATGCTAGACAAGCACACTCTACCACTGAGCTACATCCACAGTATAAGAAACCTATTTTGGTGTATTCTTTAACTATTATGGGAAACACCCACACTTAATTATAATCATAAATCTCTGGTACCAAAATCAAAGCTAAGAAAATAAAGTTAGTACCTAATACCTACCTAGGTAAAAGGTAAAATAAATTCTAATCATTCAGCAAGGCTTACTTAACACCTTTTCCTACCTCCCAAAATTACTAAGTCTGTAGATGACAATGTTAAAATTCTTACATTTCCAATATATAACTTCCTTGTCCTGCACAACCACCCATTTGACTTCAGGGATTTGGAAAGATGCCACCAAAAATATGAAGAGATGTGAGAAAAGGCACCAAGTGAGTTTCTCCTCAACAACCATTACTCATGGGAACTGCTAATATTACTTCTACCAACTAACAGCAACACAGAAATCTTAAGAACATTTTAGCCTCTCTGCTGGTAAAAACACATGACTAAAAATAAGTGATAGCTGCAATTAAATTTCACTGCTAATGTTATTTGAGTATAGCAATTAGGAAATCTGATGGTTTCTATATTCATTTTATAGTACAGGAACTGACTTCAATCCTTCACAGAAAAAGTCATCAAAATACATTTCTCCTTCATTCATACAAGGCAGGCTAAGACTTATATTTATGAATCATAATTCTATCACATCTAAAAGGATAATTCAGAAATTCAGGATTAAGGTTAACATTACTTCAGTAGTCTGAAACTATTTTCCAGCTTATGAATGGAAAATATCCCAGCTGCCTTTTGAACGAGACTTTGCCAGGACATTAGAGATACGATACTGCTTTTCGTAAGTTAAAGGAAATGCCCCAGTGCTCATGGCAACATTATTTCTCCCTTCAGTTCTGCACAGCATGCTGTTTGTATTTAGGGTACAAAGCTTATTTGGTTTCTTTGTGATGAAGCCACAATCGGAGTCCTACATTTCTTTGGGATAAAAGGAATTTCACAAATTATTGAATAAATCTCCAATTTTCTATTTTTCAGTGCAATTTTTGTTATTTTCCTGCTCACCTCTGTATCATTATTGAGATTCCACAAATCCAATCTCCCCATGCCATCAACACAGGCAAACAGGGCTGGGTGGGTGGGTGACCACATAACATCATAAACGTAGTCTGAATTATCTTCAAATGAGTATAAAGGCTTGTTATTCTGAAAGGGAAAAGTTGATTCTTAGTACAGTAAAAACATGACAACTCACAAATCATTAAACTACTGATCACTGGAAAAAAATATGGCTTATATTCAACAGGTATACTATTTTATGATATTTAATACAGTAGAAAAAGTTTTTGTAATTCATTACAGAATTACTTGGCATTAAACTAAGAATCAACTACTGAATCACATTTTTCTCTTTTAATTTGTAGATGCCACATTGGTTTTAAAAAGGAATGGAATGTGCTTCAAATCATTTGTTAGTCAAATAATTCCAGGAAAATGGTAGCAGTGGCAGTGTAATTTTGAATCTCTTCTAAATCTCCCCATAAAACCTGTTACAACAACGAGCATGGCAAACCAAAAATTCACAATGTTCACGGTAAAATCAGGAGACAAACCTCCAAGCATAAGTAGGAGTTAACAAACCTCTGACAACCACAAGATCCACACAGTATCTGTATCTGTGTGGGAACAGTCCTGACAGCTCAAGTACAGAAGAACATCACAGTCAACAGGTGCTCACTGGACAGCACAGTGGGCCAGTCTGAGAATAGCAGTAGAAACTAAGATCACATTTATTAAAAAATGCCCCAGATTGCAATGCAATACCGAATCTGGGTCCTATAAGCTCTCAAAATTAAATCAATGCTCCCTTCCACGATAAAGTCCCAATAAAGAGAAATGGCTGGGAATAGAATCCAAGTTGTAAAATAGAGGACAACGGACAAAGGAAAAGAGAAGGTTCAGATAAAAGTGGTGCAGAAGAACAGAATATGTACATCTCAGACAAGATGTATTTGTATTTCCACTTTACAAAAACCACAGAAGAGAAAGATTTAACCTAGACCATGAAGCTAGGAAACCTATTCTTGCTCATTCTCTTTGTCTTAAGATTATAGAAAAATTTATTTTACTAATAGGTAATAAGTAACAGAAAAGGATCTTGGTCTAATTCCATACATAGTTACTGTGATATAAAGATAATTAAAGAAAAAGTCTTTTCAACAAATGGTGGTGGGACAACTGGATATATACATGCAAAAAAAAAATGAAGTTGTACTCCTCATCTCTCACCTATGTTTATGAACATAGGTGAACGCAAATAAATGCATCACAGATCTAAGTGGAAATACTAAAACTATACAACTCTTGTAAGAAACCATAGAAGTAAATCTGCATGGCCTTGGACTCAGCAATAGTTTCTTAGATATGAAACAAAAAGCTCAAGTGAAAAAAAATAAATAAATAAAAATTAGATAAACTTCTATATGAAAATTACCCAGGCATAGTGGTGCATTCCTTATCCCAATAACTTGGGATGCGGAAGCAAGAGGATTACAAGTTCAAGACCAGCCTGAGCAACTTAGCAAGGCTCTAAACAACTTAGTGAGTTACTGTCTTAAAAAATAAAAAGAACTGGGGATGTGTGATAAAGCACCTCTTGAGTTCAATCCCTAGTAACAAAACAAAGCAAAACCAACCAACAAACAAAAAAACTTCTATGTTTTAAATGACATCATCAAAAAAGTAAAAGAACAATTTACATAGCAGAAAAAAATATTTGCATCAGCTGTAGTGGTGCACGCCTGTAATCCCAGCAGCTTGAGAGGCTGAGGCAGGAGGACTGTGAATTCAAAACCAACATCAGCAAAAAGTGAGGTGCTAAGCAACTTAGCGAGACCCTGTTTCTAAATAAAATACAAAAACTGGGCTGGGGATATGGCTTGGTGGTTGAGTGCCCTTGGGTTCAATCGCCGGTACCAAAAAAAGAAAATATTTGCAAATCATGTATTTTATAAATGATATATCCAGAATTCTAATAATGACCAATTAAGGACAGAAAAAAATGCTCAAAATTATTAGTCATGAGCTGAATGCAAATCAACATCACAATGAGATATCACTTTATACCACTAGTATCACTAGAATGAAAGAGACAGACAATATGTGTGGCTGAAGATCTGAGAAGTCAGAACTCTATTTCTTACCTGTCAGGGAAGATACCATGATCACCAAGAAATCAGAACCCTCATACCTTGCTGGTAGGAAGGTAAAATGGTGTAGCCAGTTTGAAAACAGTTTTCCAATTCCACAAATACTAATTAGAGTTACCAAATGACCTGATAATTCTACCCCTAGGTATATACCCCAAAGAAATGAAAACGTGTGCACACAGAAAATTTGAACATGAATGTTCATAGTAACCTTACTCATAATAGCTAAAAAGTAGAAACTCCAAATGTTCATTAACTGATTAACAGATGAACAAAACATAGTAAATCTATTCAATGGGACATTATTTGACCATAAAAGGAATGAAGTATCGACATATGCTAAAACATGGATAACCCTTGAGAACATTATGTAAAGTTAAATAAATCAGTGCACATATTATATGACTCATGAGATGTCCATAAACTGTCCATATAACAGGCAAATCCAGAGACAGAAATAGATTAGTGGTTTCTAGGAGCTGTGAAAAGGGAAATGAATAGTAGCTAATGGTATAATGGGTTCTTTCTGAACTTTCTAAAATTTCTGAAAATGTTTAAAACATTCAATCCCAGTGACTTGGAAGGTGGAGGCAGGAGAAATGCCAAGTTCGAAAGCAGCCTCAGCAACTTAGCAAGGCCCTGTCTTAAAAAATAAAAAAGGAATGAGTATGTGGCTCAGGGGTTAAGTGCCCCTGGGTTCATTCCCAGTAACAATAACAACAAAAGAGACTGGTGACAGTATACTCACAGAAATATTCATGAAGAACACTGAATCGTAACTTTTTTTGTGTGTGTATTTTCAAATTTAGAGACAAGGTCTTACTGAGTTGCTTAGGGCCTTGCTAAGTTGCCAAGGCTAGCTTTGAACTCACAATCCTCCTGCCTCAGACTCCAGAGCTGCTGGGATTATAGGCATGTGCCATTGTGCCTGGCCTGAATTGTATGTTTTTGAAGGGTTAATTTTACACAAATTATCTCAATAAAACTGTCAACTTAAAAAACAGATAAAGTGAATTTTTAAAAAAAGTTATAGACACAAAGAAGATTAAAAAGACACATCTATACTGGCAGATCCTGAAGAAAGAAACAAAAGCAATAATACAGAACAAATACCCAAAAAAATTCTTCTAGCTGGACCTGGTGGCACACACCTGTGGTTCCAGTTACTCAGGAGGCTAAGGCAGGATTGATGGCTTGATTTCAGGAACTTGAGACAAGCCTGGACAACATAGCAAAACCCTGTCTCTTATAAGAAAAATAAGAGGGGGCTTGAGATGTAGTTCAGTGGTAGAGCACATGCTCATCTCATTACCCTGGGTTCAATCCCCAGCATTGCAAAAACAACCAACCCCTGCCATACATACACAAATGTCCCCCCAACCCCTCCACCAAAAAAAAAAAAAAAAAAAAAGACACAAAAAACAAAAAACCCTCTCCTTTGAAACTACATATTGATTGACTGATTGTATATGTGTGTGCATACTGAAGATTAAGGCTGGCCTCAAACTTGTGATGCTCCCACTTCAGCCTCCTGAGTAGCTAGGATTATAGTGTGCCATGGGGCCCAGTGAAACTACATATTAAAAGGGTACTCTTGTGTACTTAGGAAAACTGACCTACTTCAAAAAAGAAAAGAAAAAAAAAAAAAGATCATTTCAAAACCCAGGATTTTTTAAAAGACTAAGTCACAGTAAGGAAAACAAAATCAGCTTGTCAGATTTGACAATGATCTTTGCCAGAAGACAACAGACTAACATAGTTAAGGTACTAAAAAAAAATCTGTGTCATGGATTCTATATATAATCAAATGATTATGATAATATGATTTTATCATGAATATGATAATACTGTACCCTTGAGCATCTTTTGAGGAATCTATTACAGAATTGAGATACATGACCAAAAAAGATTGAACAGACATCGACATGAGAGGACTGGTGAATAAACCAAGTGAATCAAGAATGTAAGTGGTAGCACACTTACTTAGAATGCACGAGGCCCTAGGTTTGGTCCCTAGCAAATGGGAAAAAAAAGGGGGGGGGGGAGGGAGAAAGGGAAGGAGGGAGGGGCAGAAAAAGAAAAAGAGACAAAGACTCAACAGGCACTTCACAAAATGACCAATAAACTCATGGAAGGGTGCTTTAGCACATTAGTGTGACAGTAACACAAAACCACTACTCCATGCAACTATATCCATTGAAATGGTTAAAATGAAACACAAAAAATTGCAAGTGTAGTAAAGGATCTTACTACTGATGGATTATAAACTGGCAAAACAGCTTTGGCAACTTCATGGTAGCTATTAAAACTGAAAGTATGCATATACTCTGATCAAGTAATTCCACTTCTAGGTGTATGCCCAATAAAAATGACTATTTATGCCCACTGAACGAAAACCAGAATGCTCATGGCACAACTATTTATAACAGTTCCAAACTGAAATTAACACAAAAACCATCAGCAGAATGAATAGATTATGATATATTTATGTAATGGAATAGAGCAAAGAGAATGAACAATCTACAATTATTAACAATATGACTCTCACAAAAATAATGTTTAATAAGAGAAGACAGAGACGAGTGTGTGTACATACTAATTTTTATAAAATATAAAAAAACTATATGAAAATTAGATAAAACATTTATAATAAAAGAAGATTGCTAAATATCTCAGGAAATGATTAGATCAAATATTTCACCTATTGAGTGGACAATTATGCAGAGATAAAAGAAAGATGCATTATACTTGGGTAAACAACACTGCAAATTAAAATCCCAAAAGAATCATTTAAAATGTTTTATTTAAAAGTATATATTTTTTCCCTTACATTTAAAGCACTTCTGCCTAAATGATACAGAGGCAGCAGGGAAAAGTTGAAAATGGACCTACTCACTCATCTCAGGCCTGCCACTAACTAGCTTCAAGACTTTGGAAAAATCACTACATCATTCCAAGCCCCTAATTCCTTATTTATAAAACAAAGGCTTTGTACCT